GAGGGCCTCCGAGGAAAAAGAGACGTGCACCCTGGAGTGCAAGAGAGGTGCACATTTCTTCACCCCCTCATGGGTTAGCGATCCATGGATTTGGCGCGCGGTCGCCAAATCCATTCCATGGATCGGGGGAGGTGCCCTCCCCAGAATGCGGTCAGTGCCGCCTCGTGCGGCGGCGGCAATCCGCGAATTCCCATGGAGGTGGGGCCCGTCGCTAATCCAGGCCCCCTTGATCCATGTTTGCGATCGCCTGAGGGAAGGGCAGCGGATCCAGCTTATCGAGCTCTCTCTCAATTAGTGCAATCCGTGGTGGCAGAAAACTTGAAGCATTAGGGCCGGGATGTTCCAGCGAGTCCTTGAAATTGCTTTTAAGAGATTGTGGTGGAACCACTTCGCAGAAAAAGTTGCAACGTGCAAATTCGCACTTTTGGTCCGCGAACCATTGGACCGCCGCAAAGACGGAGAGGGCACGAGTTTTGCGTGACGGGGGGCGAGCCTTCTCTCAGAGGGCTCGGAGAGCCTTCGCAGGCCTTCTGAAAGGCTTGCTGCGCCTTCGCCGAAGCCACAGAGGCCTTCCCATCAAAGGAGCGCGTTTCTCTGTTTTCGGCGATCATAAGAATTACAGGGGACGGGGGGAAGGGGCCCAGGGGGGTGTACGTATACTGTAACGCCTCCCCCCCGCCGTGCGCACGGCGGCAGTGCCCAGAGCGCACCGGGGGGGAGGGGCGTTGCGTCACAGGGGGGGGGGGAGGGGGGGGCCGGGGGCCCATACTACCCATTACGCCCCAAGCAATAAAGAAACCCGCTCAAGGCCAGAGGGCTTCTGAGAGGCCCCGCCGCCTTCTGACAAAGGCCCGCCCCCTCCGCGCGCCCCCCCTCCGCACGCTGTCGATCTGCTGCTCTACGCCGGACTCGCCCGTCCGGCCACCCGCTCGCCATCCCGCGTCGCCCTCCTGGAGCTGCTGCCGCCGCTCCTGCTGCTGTCCGCCAACCCAGCGGGTGTTGCTAGAAGCGCCCCTGGCCCGAGGTGCCCCCGGGATTCTCGGAGCGGCCCGGACGGCCTCCAGGGCACCCCCTCTTGTGGAGCGAAAAGCTGGGGGCACCTTGGGCCAGGGGCACGTCTAGCAGCGCCCGAACCCGCATCCTGCTCACAATGGCCGACTGCCCAGCCGGCTACCGGATCGGCACAGACGACCGGGGGGGGGCAATAGTAGCATCCATAACGCACCACCGTGGAGAACACATCAGCACTATTATTGTTAAAAGAAGCACCCTGTTCGGCGTCGCGGCCACGCATGCAGCAGCGCGGCGGAGTCGTGCAGTCGGCAGCGGCTCGTCGGTGGTGCGGCGACCGCGGCCGGGGTCCCAGAAGGCCCAGGAAGGAACGCGCACGCGCAGAACCTCGAGGGGGGGGGAGCCACGAGGGGGGGACGAGCGGCGGACTGACGGGGGGGGCCCTCCTCCTCCTCCTCCTCCTGCTCCCTCTCCGTCTCCTCCTCCTGCTCTTCCTCCTCCTCCTCCTCCTCCTCCTCCTCCTCCTCCTCCTCCTCCTCCCTCTCCCCCTTCTCCTCCTCCTCCTCCTCCTCCTCCTCCTCCTCCTCCTCCTCCTCCTCCTCCTCCTCCTCAGACGTGAAAGCGGCAGGGTGCCCTTGCCCTGGCCTCCTCCTCCTCCTCCTCCTCCTCCTGCTCCCGGCTCGGGCTCGGCTTAATCACGGCCTGTACACGAGTGGCCTATTCTCGGTCTGGGTGAGGAAAACAAAGGAACCAAGAAAGGCAGACGCCCTCCTCCTCCTCCTCCCTCCTCCTCCTCCTCCTCCTCCTCCTCCTCCACCTGAAGCACTGAAGCACTGAAGCGCTGAAGGCAATCAAGTTTGTCGAATGTTGCCCTCTACTCCTCCTCCTCCTCCTCCTCCTCCTCCTCCTCCTCCTCCTCCTCCTCCTGTTCCTCCTCCTCCTCCTCCACCCCCTCGGCTCGGGCTCGGCTAAATCAAAGCCTGTACATCAGTGGCCTTTTCCCCGGCATGGGCAACCAGATGCAAGGAATGCAGGAACGAGAGACGCCCTCCTCCTCCTCCTCCTCGGTCAGCCGGTCGGCCCTCCGGCGGACGGGTGTCGATGCCCTAGCGGGATCGGGAACGAGCGGTGCGGAGCGGGGAAGCAGGAGCAGGGGCAGCAGCAGGTCGAGAGAGCGAGCGACAGCCGCGCCACGGGGGCGCTTCGGCCAAAGGCCGAGCATCAACCTGGAATACTTCCTTTGTTGTGTGCGTGCACTGGAGAGAGCATGGCCAGGCACATGGGGGGACAAGATAAGCCCTCTTCCAAGAACGCGCAAGTACTGTCAGTGACGAACCGGACACAATGGTGCTCGAGACCTACGGGCTACTGTTTGTTTTGAAAGTGACCGGACACTGGCGTCGATGTTCACCACGGCTCACCTTCCCCCCAAGGCCCTTCCCATGTACACCAAAATGCAGCCAGAACAAAAGTCCCAAGGAGGAGGATAAGAGGGGTCCTCGCATGGCACACAGTCGGCGCAACGGTGGTCAATGCCGCCAGTTCCCATTCGTTTGCAGGCAGTCCACTGCAGCTTCGTCGAGGTGATATAAGGATGTATGTGGATCGCCAGGTGACTAGTAGCATCGCTACACGTGATGCAGTGCCCAGTCGTCGCCTGACAACCCCAAATCTAAGGCACTCCCAGGAAGGTGGTCGCCAGGCAGGCTCTGGCGCACGGGCCCATGGTCCTGGCAAGGGAAACGCGGCGCTCATCGTCCTCCCCCTCCCTTTGCTGCGGCGCTCTGGACACCGTGGTGTCCGCGGGAACCGCGGCATCCTCGCAAGTAGAAGGCTGGCGCGGACACCAGCAGGTGATGACAGCCATCAGCAGCGAAACGCCAACGAAAACAACCAGTATGACTTAGAGAGTTGAGCCCAGCAGTTCCGACATCATAACCATTCTACCGACCGACCTGTCGATCTCATTATCCATGTAGCACCCCGCAGTTGCGGATAAGAGCGGGGCGGCGAGCGAGGGGTTGGTCGCGGGCGGGTCGCGGGCGAGTCGCGGGTGGGTCGCAGGTGGGTCGCGGGCCAGGTCGCGGGCAGGACGACAACAAACAACGATCAACACACAACAAACAGCAAACAACCACAACAGCAGCAGCAGCAACTACAACAACATACGCAAACACAAACACAGCAACACCAACAACAAAAACAACCACAACACCAACCACAACAACAACAACCACCGACACCAACAACACCAACGACAACATTAGCAGCAACAACAACACCAACAATCATATGTTTAAGACTGTTCGCTCCTATCTGCTCGCGTGCCACTCAACACGTATATCCCGGACCATCGACGACCGCCCTCTTTGTCTTCGACCAACCCCCCTGAGGGGGAGATCTTTCTTACCCGCAACGTGTATTGCATGTAGCCCCAAGGGCAGGGGAAGAGAGGACGGATGGAAGAAAGGGACACGGGGGAGGGAGGAGGATGGAGCACGAGAGACAAAGTAGCAGGAGGGGGGCTCGGAGCAGAAAGCACGTGGCAGAACCAGACGGGCAGATCGGGCGGGTAGACCCTAGCGGGCGGGTGGGGAAAGCGGGCCCAGGCGGCCAGGTCGAGCAGGTGGATTGCTGAAGCGTGCGCCCTGTATGAACCGCCACAAACTCTCGAGCGATAGCGCGAATCCCAAGTAAATCGTGAGGGGATCCACAGCGAGAGCGTGATTCCTGAGTGTCGAGGGCGTGGCGTCTGAATAAATTGCGGTGGCAGTCCCACGCGAGAGCGCGATTCCTGCATATCTTGTTAGGACATCCCGAGAGAAAGCGCAATGCTCCAATCGTTTGCGAGGAAAGATCGAGCGGGAGCCGTTCTTGCTGTTGTAACTCAAGGGCCAGGGGCGTAGTTTGGTGACACCTCGCCTTCCCTTGTAAAAAAAACATGGTGGGAATTCTGGGAAAACACTTTAATGTGAAAACGTGTTACCAGGTATGGGGGGGGCACCAACAATTCATTGAGAAGTGACAGCCCCGCTGCAACACCGCCAACAACAATTACAACAACAGCAACACTTACAGCAACAACAATAAGGACACCAATACACATAACAATGCCAATAACAATAACAACAACAACAACAACAACAACAACAACAGCAACACCAACAATCATGTTAAGACTGTTCGCTCTTGTCTGATCGTGTGACAGTCAACACATTTACCCCGAACCCTCGATACCCGCCCGCTTCGTCTTCGATCGTACCCCCTTGGGGGTATATCGTTCTTACCCGCCGCGCGCATTTAGCGCAGCCCGTCACACAGGGAACGAGGGGACGGACCGAAGGAAAGGACACAGCGGAGGGAGGAGGATGGAGCACGGGAGAAACTAGCAGGAGAGGGGGGCTGGGAGCAGAAAGCACATGGCATAACCAAGCGGGCAAATCGGGCGGGTCGGGAAGGCGAGCCCAAGCGGCCAGGTCGACAGGCGGGTTGCTGAAGCGGGCGCCCTGCATGAATCGCGAGAAAATCTCGAACGATAGCGCGAATCCCAAGTAAGTCGTGAAGAAATCTACAGCGAGAGCGTGATTCCTGAGTGTCGAGGGCGCGGCGTCTGAGAAAATTGCGAAGATGCCCCACGCGAAAGCGCAATTCCTGCATGACTTGTTAGGAACTACCGCGCGACAGCGCAATGTTTCAAGAACTTGCGAAGAAGGATCAAGCGGGAGCCATTGTTGTAACTCGGGGGCCACGGTCGCAGTTTGACGCTCAAGACTTTGCCCGCCCCGGCAAGGGCGCGTCAATTGAAAAAACCATGTGCGCCGGGCGGGGTGGATCAACAATCACTATTCTTCAGAAGCGAGAGTTCAATGGGCCAACAGGGAGGCCCCCAGTCGCGGGGCGCGCTCGCCTTCGTTCGCCACAGACGCACGGGCCGGCGTGGCGCAACCGGTCCGTTTGGGGGGGATACGAACAACCAACACAACCAGGGCCTTGAACACCGCCATCTTCTTCACGACGCCGCCCCCGTTCCCGTTCGAGGCGCCCAATTGTGCTCGCCCGACGTCCTCGCTACTCATCGACTCGACGTCTGCCAGGTCGGTCTGGTCGACCGCGTCTGGGAGAACGCGGCATACCGTCACCACGCGGACGGGCCGCTTGGCATCGGTGGCGGGGTTCCCCAGGTCCGCCGCGAGACGGCTCATGCGCTGCGCGGGGGATTCCTGCTGCGCCAGCGCGGCCTGAACCGCCGTGGACACGTCGTCGGCAATGCCGTCATAGCCAGTCTCGGGCATCCCGAGATGGGGCGCCAACCCGCGCGGCGCGGAGACGCGGCCCTCCCCGCGCGCCGGGCGTCGACACTGGGCAAATTGCGTAGGGCCGACGCACGGCAGGGAGGGCGCGTCTCCAGCCGAGCGCGCCTCCTGATGCACTCGCCGATGGACGTGTTCGCCGGGTCCGTCTCGGGCAGAACCTGCATCACCGCGTTCGTCAACGCCGCGGGGGTCAGCGCCCGCGACGGCCCGGTGGCGGCCATTGACGCCGCCAGTGAGAGCCGTTAGCAGGAGATGCTGGGAACCTGCTGGGGGCGAACGGCTGCGGCCTGGAGGGGCAACCTTCGCGCGCGTGAAAGAATAATTGCCCGCCATTACCCGCCGAGTACCCGGTGTATTAACCGCCTGTTTTTACCAATTACCCGCCCCATTGGTTACTATGAAAGAAAAATGAAAAATCAAATCTACTTCATTCAAAAAGAAAGAGCCTGTACGACTACTACTACTACTACTACTACTACTACTAGTAGTAGTACTACTACTACTACTACTACTACTACTACTACTACTACTACTACTACTACTACTACTACTACTACTACTACTACTACTACTACTACTACTACTACTACTACTACTACTACTACTACTACTACTACTACTACTACTACTACTACTACTACTACTAACTACGACTACTACGACTACTACTACTACTACTACTACTACTA